ACACACACACACACACACACACACACACACACACACACACACACACACACACACACACATATATATATAGCGCCCTTGGTGATAAATTAAGCTTTCTAAGGACAGGAAAGACAGATATATGTTGGCCCAATCACAGACTGTGGCTATGGGCATAGAGAGAAACAGATGGACCTCAGAGATGCTTCAGAAGAGGAATGGGCAGATCAGGGCATGGAATGAGGAAGAGGAGCAATGAGACTGTCCTCACAAGCCTGACCCTGGGGTCTTCACAATCTTCCCAGGATCAGCCTTATTCTTCTGTCCTATATAGGGTCTGCGGAAACTGGATAGAGTTCAGGCCCCTCTTATTAAGTCTTAGTTTATAGGCTAATGATTTAGAAAGAATAATCAATCTTATGCCAGCAGGACAAGTACATGGAGGTAACTGTGATGAACACTGTGGTTAGTTAGTTAACATGTGATACACAATGTTGGGGCGGGGGAAGTTAGTGGCTGAGCTTGGCAGGGAAAGAAACCTCCATCAGGCGGCTGGATGGGGTAGGGAGGAGAGGGATGTTGGGAAGAAATGTCACTGTATCTGACAAGCCCCAAATAGGGAAGAGCAATCTCCATAGAGGAGACTTGGGAGACCACCAGGCTCCTGCCATAATGTATTCCCTCCAGAAAGCTCAGAATCACACAGCACAGTACTGTGAGCTTGGAAACTTACGAGAAATCCTGTTTCTGCCCACTTCTGGAAAGCTGAGAAGGACCACTCACTCGTACCCTTGGATATAGATATGTGCAGTCTCACTCACACCACCTGTTTGCACAGCCAGCTCAGCTCTTCCACGTTGCTCATCTGCCTAGAGGGTAGACCAGAAGCTAGCTAGGTTCCCACTTTCTCCCCACTCTGCACATCCCCTTCTGTTACATCCTAGATATCACTTGCATCTGCCCAGCAAGGCCTTCATTTCGGTTCACATCCTCTCTCATAAACATCAGCCTACTCTCCTAACTGTGCTGTGGGCCCCAGATTCTGAATTGTGAGCGGAGCAAAGACTCCTGTCACAAGCCAGGGTTCTTGGAAGCATCCATGCCAGTCCCATGGCTCAGCTGAACAGAGGCAAGGACAGCCCCGGGATTCCACAGGCGAAAACGGCATACCTGTCAAAAGATGGCCGTTCCCCAGCGTCAAAAGCATCTCTCAGCTGCTTCACCAGGTTGTCCTGCCCAGGCAGGCGAAAGATGCCCTCTTCATTCATGCCATGCTCGAGGATGAACTCCACACACTTCTCCACCAGGATGGGTACCAGATGGGAGCCGAACTTCTGTTCATAGGCTACAGTCTCATCCAAGCGCTGGCCAAACACGGCTGAGAAGAGATGAAACAGGACCTGCCCATCATTTTGACCTTCCTTGATTTAACTGGTTGGGGAAAGTGCTTTGCCAGTTTCTTGGTTTTTCAGTGTCATCCATGTTGTAAAGATTTTACCACAATGGTACAAACAGAACATGGGACACTAATTACTCATAATATTTCCAGGTCTACAAAAGTAAGAGCTGTAAATTTGAGGCAGTCTCTGTCAGTCTTTTTGTATTGATCCATGTTATAATATGCAGTATTTAAAATAACAGCTGACTTTTACTGAATACTTGTGTGGTAGGAGTCCTGCTACACACTTTGCACACCTTTTGTCATTTCATCTGAACAGCAAGCCCATGAGGTGGTAGCACTGTCATACATAACCAATTCACTGTTTAAGACTCTGAACCTTAGTGGTGCTAGTGAACTTGCCACATCAGGCAAGGCAGGGCAGGGCAGTCAGAATTCAAGCCCGGGCAGTATATTCCTGAGAACATGTGCTAAACAACGGCAGCAGTCAGGCTGTTTTGAATTCTGACTGTGTCGCAGAGTATTAAACCATAATAGCCTATCACATGACTGTCTCAAGACTGTCTAAAAGCATTGTGGCACTTAAAATAATTCAGGTTGTTTACTATGTTTGACTATTGTAAACATGGCCACACTGAACACGTACCCACAAAGTTCCTGGAATGTATGTAGTACAAATGCATAATGTCTAATTAATTGCTTAATACATTAACATTTGGATGGATAAACACAAACATTTCATCCTTTTGAACCATTTCCCTAGGGCAAATTCCCACATGTAGAATTACAGGGTCAAGGGGCTAGAACATTTTTGTGACCTGATGGTATGCAAATTGCTTTCCAAAAATATTTTTCCAAATTGCACCGCCTCCAACAAGGCACACTTGGATCAGCTCCACCCAGGCCCTGTCAGCAGTTGGCTGTGTGATTTCCCCACCCCTGCATGTAACAAGATTAGTTTCTAAGGAGGACAATCAATCGTTGCCTCCTTTATTATCCCACCAGGCCCGCAGGCTCTGCATTGTGCTGGGGTTCAGAAGGCAGGTCCTGGCTTTGGTTCTGTCCTGCCTGACTTTCCTTCCACCGTAACTGAGGTCTGCAAAGTCCCTCGGTTCTCCCCATTTTGCTCTCTCTCTGGCTGGTCCCCTTCCTCCAGACCCTAGTCAATATGGATCCGACCTGCACCACCCATTTCAGCTGTACCAGGCTCTTGAATCCTTTTGTCTTGCCAGCCTCCTCTCTTGCCTATAAGTGCCACTGTGTCTCCTTTCTACCATTTTCAAAATCCTCCAGCTGCTTGTCTTGCTAAGAAGTGGTCTCCCTGAGCACTAGAGCCCTGGTTTTGAATATCCTCCTGCCCTCCCCAGTTGCCACAGCAGTGTTCTTCCGGATGGCACCTCAGAGCCTGAGAGCTCCTCAGAGCCCCTCCATTACCATGTCGTGCGCAGGGATACGGGGGAGTCATCTCATCCTAGCCACATCTGCCAGGCTGTGGTCTATTTGACTTATTGAATCTCAAGGTTTTGTTAAATTAAATATCTCTTTAGCTGAAGTTTAAAAACCAAGCCTGGCAATCCTCAGATTGGCCAGGCACCCACCTATTTTTTAGTGTGACTTCCTGTTGTGCCTCCGCAGGCATCTCACCCTGATGAGCTCTCCAGTTTCTGTGTCCTCAGTCAGTCTCTCCTCCCTGCACAGTCTGTCCTCTCCCTTCCTGGTTGTTGGAATTCCATTTGTCTTCCCTGACCCCTCTCAAATACCCTTGTGTCTGCCAGGCCTTCCCTGAGCCCCACATGGAGAGACTACTTCCTGTTCTGTGCACCTCTATCCCCTCCTGCACATCCCCATCCCTTACCACACTGCCACTCTTGTAGTTTGCAGGCACCAGTGTGCTCTGCTTGGCCACAAGGCCTCTGAGGCCAGGAATACGAAGAGGAGGTCTCTTTGCATCTCCAATGCTTAGCATAATGCTTGTCACAAGAAAAACATTTTCCTGAAAGAGTTAATAAATTCTTTTGTCTTTGAGCAAGTATTTTTCATGACTGATGATGATTTCGGCATTTCTCTACTTGAAACACTAGTAAGCATCTCCACAGTAAATGAATCCACTTTCACACTAACAGTTGCCAAGTTTTCCACAATGTGCTCTGCTTTGGGCCACGATCATGGAAGGGGCTGCACATACCAGGGACATAGAAGACTTGGATCTTGCTTTCGCTTTGCTTACCACCCAGGTATATATGGAAGGAAAAGGACCACACAAAAAGTGGTGAGAGACAACTAGGGAATGCTAATAACCATGCAGAATTAGTTCCTGTTTGTCTGTGAGAGGAGCTGGATAAATATTTCCACCAAATGGGAAAGATATGATTGAAATAAATGATCTAACTTATATGCTGGGTATGGTGGCACACACCTGTAATCCCAGCACTCTAGGAAGCCAAGGCTGGAGAATCCCAAGTTTGAGCCTAGTCTGGGCAACTTAGTAAGACCCTGTCTCCAAATAAGAAATTAAAAATGGTTGGAGATGTAGCTCAGTACAAAGTCTATGGGTTTGATCCCTAGTGCTGAAAAAAATAAGACCATGTGACATTTGGGAAATTCCTTTTGAGGAGTCCCAGGGGGTTCCAGGGAGGGGTCCTCAGAGAGAGTGGCAGTCAGCTTTGGGATCTGCTGAAACAAGCTCCAGGGTCCCCCTGGGGACCAAAGGAGAAAGAGCCCAAACACAATGGAAGGGTGAGCATAGAGAAGCTGGGGTTTTCTCCTCACTCAAGTCCATCAGCCTCAAACTGTGTCTAGCCTCTGTTCTCCCCACAGCCACACTCAGTCATTCCCATGTCACTGTCACCAGTACATTCACTTTCCAACATCACGTTTCCCTCCAACATCCCACTTTGGTGGTCCCCACTACCCTAAATCAGTGAAAACTATGAGGAATCAGAGCATTGTCACATAATGGGTATTTATAATTCCAATCTTCGTAAGATCTCGGTAGTTTCAAATCTTCACATTCCCCTTGAGCTCCCCAACCCTTTCTGTTTCTAGCAGGTGACCGTGGTTTCCTTTTCCTTATCTCCCAACAGAAAGTCATGAGAGGACGCCCCTGCCATGAGCCCATGCCTCCCCATCCTTCCTCCTCTGATTGTGTCCCTGTCCTCTCTCAGGGCAAGAAAGGCCCTGCCTGTCCTCTAGCTGATGCTTTCTGAAAGTGTCAACTCCATCCCTTCCACATCTCCCAGACTGTACTCTTTCTCTATTATAAATTGTTTTCTTTCCATATACAGAGTTCGTGTGAGTCTAGGTTTCTGCCAGTTTATGAAAGAACAATTCCCACCCCGGCTCTCAGGCAAGTGACCCATACTTGCCTTGCTTCTCTTCACCAATGTACACGTTGAAAAATGTGTTTCCTTCCAGAGGATCAGCCTCCCTCACAGCCTTACTCCTCACTGCAGAATTGCTTCTCAGCTCATCATCGCAGTCTGGTTTCATTAACCTGTGTCTCTCCATCAAACCTCTCTCTAAGATTGCTGGTGCCTCCTAATGGCCTATCCAGCCTTGAATGATTTCCTACCCTACTGGTCTTCTGGTCTTCTATGAAGAGTCTGATGATGTTGATTCTCCTTCTCTAAAGAACTCCTCCCTAAGTGGCTATAAAACTGTCCATTCTCTTTTCCCATCTCCGTGATGACTGCTTTTGGTCTCCTTTACTGTGCCCTGTTCTCTCTTTGTTTTTTCAGTGGCTCATTGCCTGGGATCCCAACTCAGTTTTATTTTATCTTCATTGAAGACACTTCCTTTGGGCAATTATGATCCACACATTTGGATATCATCTATAAATTGATAACTTATGCCTCTGTGTGCCTGGTCCAGGAATACCCATCTATCTGTGTCTATTTGTCTCTCTGTCTGTCTGTCTCTTTTCTACTTCTGTAAGTCCAAAATAAGTGGCAATTCTCTCATTCTGCTATTGTCTTCTTCAATCTCACTCTCACCCCGCTGCTAAATTGCTACTTCTCCTGTAGCCCTTCCTCACAGGCCATAGCATTCAGCCAGTCAGCAAAGTGGCAAGTACTCTCCCAGGCACTGAGACTACAAACCCACTAACACAAGGTGGTTAGCAAAACTGAGCTTTAGAACAATCTGTAACACTCTGTGATTCCAAATATATCAGTGGATTCTAAATAAACTATAAGCGTCTCTCTTTCCTCACTGCTGCTGCCTGTATCATTGTAGTGTGTGTGTGTATGTGTGTGTGTGTGTGTGTGTGTGTGTGTGTGTACTGTAACTCAGTTTCTTACAAATTCCTTCTACCAGAATTCACAAAATCATTCTGTAAATGTGGACTATGCATCCGCTGTGAGCTAAGCTCTTTGGTAGCTGGGCATTGAGATGGAAAGAATGAAAAGTGTCTTTACTCTTAAAAACTCCTGCATGAATGCCTCCTTTGACTCCCTCTTCCTGGGCTTAGCTGTTTTCTCAGAGGGAACTGGTCATGCCTTCCTTCATGCTTATGGAGCGCTCTGTGTGCATCCCCATCTATCACCTCTCATTTAGTTTTATGGTGATTTATTAAACATCTCTCTCTTCCACTGGACTGTGGACTCCTCAAAGGCAGACAGCCTGTCTGGCTTCCCATCTATTTTTGTCTCCTGGCACAGAGACTGCACAAGATGGATCAATCCTCCAGGAGCTACGGCTACCAACTGTCTCCCATTCCTCCTGTTCTCCACCTCTTTGCTCTGCTCAGCACTTCTCCAAACCCACTCTTGTCAAGGAGTCAAAGGTCTTTAGATTTTTAGTCCAGGACTTAAGTTCTCGGACTTAATCTCAGCTATGCTATCAACAGCATGTGATGCAGAAAATCACTTTCTCTTCTTGAGACATTGGCTCATGTGTCATTTGGTACACTGCTCTCGCAGTTGCTCATTCATCTCATTGGCTGCTCTCACTTAAACTCCTTAAATAATCCCCGCCCCCAT